TGCCTCAACTCGGCCTTCAAGTTGATGACTGCGATGATAGCAAACCTGCTGCGGGCGCGAGTCCTCCGACACATGCCAGCGAGTCAGCGAGCCCTGAGGAAAGGCGAGTGGAATGCAACGCATGCCCACATTATCGATGCTGCAGTGTTCCTGGACCAGCGATACCACGGCATGGAAGGGAAACCTCTTCATGTCGCATGGATCGACTACTCCAAGGCGTATGATTCGATTCCTCATGATCTGTTGGAATGGACCTTATTGGCGATTAGAGTACACCCGCGTGTAGTCAGTAGCTATATGGGAATGTTGAAAGCGCTGCATGTGACGTTTGAGACTAGGGTTGGAGCAGTGACAGGAGCGAGCACAGAACTGGACGTGAGGAGAGGGGTCCCGCAAGGAGATACTCTCTCACCGCTCCTTTTCTGCCTGGCGATTGCACCCATCTCGAAGCTCATCGAAGCATGTTTAACGCCGTATATGTTCTCAAGAACGGCTGGTGTCGGGGAAATAAGACTGACGCACCAATTTTACATGGATGATCTCAAACTGTACAGCGAGTCAGTTCAGAGTCTCCACGATACAATTGGTGAGATGGTCCTATTGTGCCAAGCAATGGGACTAGAAGTAAACACGCGCAAATGTGCCCTAGCCAGCTTTGGTCCAGGACAACCAGGTCTACGTACGGACATGCCACTGCTTACAGGAAACGAGGTATACAAATACCTTGGGCTAGAGCAGCAAAATGGCGTTGCGCTACGTCAGGTATTCGAAAGAGTAACTGAACTGGTGCTGGAACGTACGAGGAACATTTTCTCAAGTGCAGCTAGTCATGGTAAGAAGGTTGCGTCCTTCAACGCAGCGGTGGCCCCAATCGTGAGGTATGTCTGCGGGAACTTGTTCCTGTACGACAAGCACGCACGGGCGGGAACCCCCCTTGCGCGGGCAAAAGAGTTGGATGTCAAAATCCGCGCTCTCTTGAGCAACCTTCAAGTCCGGTTCAGTAAACACCCGGTCCACCACCTGTATTTGTCGTCAAGACATGGCGGGTGGGGATTATCGTCTTTTGAGGAGATAGCCAGCGAGGCTATCGTATATGCATATTGCTACCTCATGGGGACAGCAGGGTTAACGGACCTATGGATGACCATGTGCTCGCAGGCCAGAAGAGGAAAACGCTCACTCGTCACAGACTTTTACTGGGTTATGGGTAAACCGGACTGCGAGGGACTGGAGGTCTACAGGATCGACGGCCCACAAGGAATGGAGCTCATGCTTGGTAGCAATCGCTACATGACCCCACGGTCACTAGCGAGAGCAGTTTGTACAGAGATGAGAGAGAGAATCAACGCAAGGCGCAACAGGCTCCTGACCAACCTCGAAGGCTACATAGCAAGAAATGTGGAACTTGACAAAGAGATGTCGTACCTTTGGATCCGCCGCGGGGCCCTAAACTCCACTACAGTAAGCAACATCTCATCGCTTCTGTTCACTGGTATCCATACCAATGCGCATCCCGCGAGGCGACTGCCAAGGTCGCAACGTGGGTGCCGCTACTGTGGACAACTCGAAACGAATGAGCATGTCGCCATGATCTGTGGTGAGTACAAGGCAACGGTGATGAAGGAGAGACACGATGCCGTCGCTAGGAAGATATACGACGCCTTGTGCCTAGTATATCAACTACGGCGGTATCACTACGATGAACCAATTCCGGTAGAGCAACGGTCCGCGGAAATCGAGCTCTACTGGGACAAAGTGTGGCTCACTCCGAGTGAAATCACATGCAACAGACCAGATATCGTCCTCGTGGATCACTCCGCAGGGAAAGTTCTTATGGTCGAGGTAGCAGTATGCTGGCCAACCCGCATCCGACAGATGGAGGAGTTCAAGGTACGCAAGTACGAACAAGTCTACCAAATCAGTCAAGCACTGGAAGGTGGAGGAGAGCAGGAGGCTAGCCTCTGCTCGATCCTATCAGCTCAATTCCAGTGTGCGGCTAAGGTAGTACCCTTCGTCATAGGATGCTGCGGTGAAGTCAGCAAAGATGCATCAGCCTACCTCAGAGAGCTTGGTCTAACAGACAAACAAGTCCTCACATGCATGGAGCTAGCTGGAAGGAGTGCAGTCCTCGGTACAGACCGAGTCATCAGAAACCACCTTGCACGAGTGTAACTGGAGAGAGAATGAATCGGCCCGAGGTCAAGAAGAAGAGGAACGGGTGATCCCGGCATATAAACAGGTCTGTACTAATATGTGTCATATATCGTAATACCGGTTATGGCCAAGATAGCCAATATTAGGCAGTAGTTCAGTCTATGGTTACTATGTAACCATTGGTCCATTGTTATTGTTATTGTTCATGTTGTTGAAATAAAGTTTGTTATTTGTTCTACAACAGGGAAGAAGGCTCAAGAAGCAGTTAATACTGCAACAATACCTAATAACAACCCTTACAGATACTAGCGATGAAGGGAGGACTCGGCTACAAGGAAACGAGGAATGAAGAAGATTGAAGTAGTGCAGAAAGAAAACCCTTACTGGTAAAGGGTAATGAAATACCGGTTAGAGAGTTGCCGGTGATCACGGACGTGGCGGTTGCGTTGAAGGCTTTGGGTGTAGCCTCAGCTGCAGCGGCCGTCAGTACAGACCGGTATGGTAATGACTCAGCTACAAGGAAACGAGGAATGAGGAAGATTAAAGTGGTGCAGAAGGTTAAGCAGATTGTTAAGAAAGAAAACCCTTATTGGTAAAGGGTAATGAAACCCGGTTAGAGAGTTGCCGGTGATCACGTATACTAGACAAGAAATACGTGACCCGATAAGTTCAAGCTACCTTAAAAGAGGGTTAAATCGTAGCCCCACACTGGATTTGAGCAGACTACGATCACATTGATCGGAGAAGACAGTAGCAAATAAGCCTCTTAGCCGCCGGTACCAGCACTGAGCAGGGAAAGCGGGTGACCACGTCACACATGAAGTGATTAGTTGGCCTGGTCACACAGCCTCTAGGAATGAAAGTAGGTAAGAT